CAGCCCCTCCACGGGGTCCCACATACTCCAACCCCCCCACACCCGCCAGCCGCCACCAGCAGCCAGCTCTGCCCGGCCAGTGGCCGATGGACAGCCCGTCTTGCCAGCTGCACCCTTCAGGGCAGGGATCGGGTCCTTCACTGTGATTATTTCTTAACACCCTCAGCACTCAGCACGGAGGCTGAGCAAACACATGCCGACCGACCCCGAGTGCAGTGCTGGCCACGGCCGAGCTGGGGACAGCCACAGGCCTGGCCCCTCTCAATGCCCTTCCAGACGTTTCACCCACGGAGGGGTCAGCGAGGGAGGCCTTGCTGCTGTGGCTCCCAGTGAGGGCAGGGCCCCAACGGGAACATGGGCGCAGCCGTGACCAGTGCCAGCTCCCACGCGCCGTGCTGGGCCGGCTTCTTGTGAACATGGGGAGCTCTGTTCCTTCCCCTGGCGTTTCGGGGGGAGGGCCGTGGGGAGGCCGCGGTATTCGCTCCAGGGTCGGCTGCAGGAGGCCCAGGAGGGGCCTGGCGCCACCACGACGCTCCCAAGAAGCCCGCTGTGCGGTGGGTGCAGGGCAGCCCCGAGGGAGCCAGGACCGCGACCACATGCTGAAGGAGTGAGGCCGACTCAGGGGCCAACAGGCCCTCTGGACACACCTGGCCCTGCCTCGCGGGGGGGAGGGGAGGGGGGGTGGCCGGTCCCAGCAGGGCCAGGCCTCTCCAGAGATCGGGGCCTTGAGGACAGAGGGTTCACCCAGATCTACCGACACCGCGGCGCAGTCGATGGCGAGTCCTCAGCTTTAAAAGGTCCCACCACACAGCCTAGAAGACGCTCCGTGGCATCGCAGCCCCGCTGAGCGCACGCGAGCAGCCAGCCAGCGGCGAGCGAGCCGGTGACCTCTGGCAGCAGGGGTGACGCACAAGTCGTCTTCGGAGAACTAACCAGTGTGGCTGCGGCTCCGCCTGCTCACGGCGGAGGTGCACGTGCCTGGAACTGGACGCAGTCTCGAGCTTCCCGTCCACCCGTATCTGCCTCAGCTTCCACGCGGGCGTTTCCCGTTCTCTCCCACCCTGACGAGGGGTCACTAAGAACTAGACCTGCCCTGGCTGAGCCCCGGGAACGGAGCCGGACGCCCCGAAGTCCTGGACGGTCACGCGTGGACAGCCTTCCCGCCTGCAGG